GGGCGCTTTCTAGCCGCAAGAGGAAGGCAGGAGCCAGGGGATGGGGCTGCGGTGATTTATGACCTCACAGAAACAGCAGGACATTGGTGTACCTGGCTGGCCTGCTCATCCACCAACTCAGCCAGAGGATGCATTTAAAGGTCATATCCTCCAGCACTGGAGACTGGGAAGGGGGGCTAGCAATATGAGGGTCCTGCCCAGTGCCCCTGTGGCAGGTCGGTCAACAGAGGGCAGGGCCTCTCCTTTCCTGTGCAGATGCCAAGGGTAGATCCTTGTAGCCTGGGCAAGGAAGGATGCCCTTGTTAGGGAGAGTCCCAAAGATCTGCCTGAGTTGGAATTCAGGCTCTGTCAGTCACTGACTGTGTGAACTGTGCGTGGTCACACAGCCTCTCTGAGTCTCTGCTTCCTTGACTAAAAAACAAGATTGACTCTGAGTCTCTCAACCCTTGGGACTCGACCATCTCCCAGGTCTGCAGGCACAGACCCCGTTTCCACAGCTAAAGAAATCCAATAGCTTCCATTTTAGAAGAGGAATATGCTGAATTTAGAACTATGACTCATCACATTTAGTTTAATTTCAATGGGGAAATTAAGACCCTGAGAGGGGACAAGTCTTGCACGTAGAGCTTGGAGCCAGGCAGAAGCCAGATGCTAGTTCCCCACCTCCCTTCTCTAGATCTTTTTTTGCAGTCCCAGGCAGTGGAGGAGGAAGCCAGGATGTTAAGCCATTTGCTCTGTGTAATGTCGCTGTGCCTCTGAGGCAGCCCTCTAAACAGCCAGGGGCTGCTGGGTGGCTGTAGCTTTAAGCGTAGAGTCTTAAAAAATTAAAAAGGAAAGGAGGGCAGGGCCAGGTTTCTCCTGCACCATTGGGTGCAAGCCTCGATGTGGAGACTGTAGATATCATTCCTGTTTGGCTTTACAGCATCCTTTTCTTCGCATCGCTTTACTTTTCCACGTAGGTTTGGCCTCGGTTGTTTTTTAAGTGCATTGGACTGGTTGGGAAAGGAACTCAGGTGGAAAAAGTCAGAGAGGCAGCCCAAAATGCGCCAGGGAATTCGAAGATTTAGCATCTGGAGCCGGGATCAGTGACGTGTTTAATTCACAAATTGACAACCAGGGTTGGATATAAGGATTCATTCCCATGGGCCTCGGATGCCCAGGGCAGACTGGTTCAGGCCTGGCCTGCAGGGAGGAAGAGAAAGGAAGAGGAATAACTTGGTAAACAGTCATGAAAGAGACAGAAGGAAGTGGGAGGGTTTATTCACCGGCAGGATTGCATTTTGCTGGGTGGTGTGATAAGAGAAGTGGAGCCAGGCTAGATCTGATGTTGGAAGATGGGGAGAAGAGAGCTATTTCTAGGCTCTCTCCCCGCTCAGTCCATCTCCTACACTTCTGCTACTGCAGTCTCCCCAAAGTGCGTTCATTCATTCATTTCTTCACTTCATATGTTCTATGTACTTACTCTGTACCAAGCACTGTGCTAAGTACCAAGCACTGTGCTAAGTACCAAGGATTCTACAGTGTTGAAGAAGACAAAATGTAATGTGATTATTGTCTGCCCTTGTTAAACTCTCTCACTGGCTTCCTATTTATTTCAGAATAAAGACTTAACTTCTTAGCCTGGCATTCAGGGCTTCTCATATTCTGACGCATGACTACCATCCCAGCCCCACTGCCTATCACCTGAGGTACCAGACACATCAGATTCTTCGCCTATCAATAAATATGCCAGGGAGGAACCTTGGAACCTGACTTGGAGTCTTCTGCCTGTGCCTTCTGCCTGTTCTGTCTTCCCTGTCAAATCCTACACATCCATTAAGGGTTAGTGGGAAATGTCACCTTTTCCCTGGAGAACCTTTTCAGAACCTCTTCTTACCCAGCCTAAAAGAATTATAGAACTTAACATATTCTAAATTCCTTAAGAGATTCCACGCTGTAGAAATGGCGTGGTCGGGGTGTCATCCGATCTCTTTGTCTAACTTCACAAAGAGGGAGGAGAATCATTATCAGCATCAACAGGACAAGGCTGATTGCTAAGAGGTGGAGGTCAGACATACCTCCTGCCCAAACTTTTTACTAATTCTGACACCAGCTGTCCCTCCCACAGCACTCTCTGCCTCTCTGCTGTGTTCAATAATTCACTGCAATGGCCACACGGAACTCACAGACCTTACTCACAGTTATGGGGCTTATTAGGGAAGTTGTTGTTGTTGTTAGGTGCCATCAAGTCAGTTCCTATTCATAGCAACCCTATGTACAACAGAACAAAATACTGCCCGGTCCTGCAGCATCCTCACAATTGTTGCTATGTTTGAGTCCATTGTTGCAGCCACTGTGTCAATCCATTTCTTTGAGGGTCTTCCTCTTTTTCGATTTTCAAATATGATGTCCTTCTCCAGGGACTGGTCCCTCCTGATAACATGTCCAAACTATGTAAGATGAAGTCTCGTCATTCTTGCTTCTAAGGAACATTCTGGCTGTACTTCTTCCAAGACAGATTTGTTTGTTCTTCTGGCAGTCCATGGTATATTCAATATTCTTCACCAACACCATAATTCAAAGGCAT